TGGGGGGGGATCACTGCTGGGGATCAGTAGGGGGTCCCTGCTGGGGTCATTGGGGGGTGACAGGGGGGGTCACTGCCAGGGTCAGTGGGGGTCACTGGGAGGTCACTAGGGGTGTAAAAGGGGGCCAGTGCAAGTCACAGGCAGTCATCAGGGTCACTGGGGGGCTCACTGGGGGGTCAGTGGGGTGCCACTGCTGGGGTCACTGGGAGTCAGTGGGAGGTGACTCGGGGGGTAAAAGGGGACCGGTGTGAGTCCCTGGGGGGGTCGCTGGGGGTCACCCCTGTGTCCGTGTCCCCCAGGCCGGTCGGTGCAGCTCTGTGCGCCCCCTGCCGGCGGCGGCTGTGCCTGCCCCGCCCCCTCGGGCGAGGCCCCGCCCCCGGCCCCGCCCCCCGCGTGCCCGCGCGGCTGCAGTGACCAGGGCCGCTGCGAGCGCGGCCGCTGCCGCTGCTTCCCGGGCTTCGGCGGCCCCGACTGCGCCACCCCCGCCTGCGCGCCGGGATGGGGCGGCGCCCGCTGCGACATCGGTGCGTCCCGGTGCCCCCCGGTGCCCCCCGGTGACCTCCCGTCTTCCCCACCTCGGTGCTCCCGCTGTGTGCCCCTGGGTGGGAGGGGAACCTGCTGCGGCATCGGCGGCTCCTCAGTGCACTTCCCAGTGACGCCACCTCAGCGCTCCCAATGTTCCCCCTCCTCCACTCCCATCCTGGGGGGGACCCTGCTGCGGCACCAATGCATACCCAGCTGTTTGCCAGTGCCCTTCAGAATTCCTGCAGTGCTTCCATCCCAGTGCTCCCAGTACCCCCCCACTTCTCTCCCCAACCATGGCGGGTTCTCGTGCCACCTCAGTGTGTCCCCAAGTGTCCCTATGTGCCACTCCCAGTGCCCCTCAGTGCCTCCCCGTGACCCATCCCTGAGTGGCCCCATCCCGTTGTGTCCCCAGTGTGTCCCCAGCATGTCCTAGGGTGCTCCCAGCATGTGTCCATCCCCTAGATGCACCATCCCAGGGTGTCCCCATCCCACGGGTGTCCCCATGGTGTCCCTGCACTGTCCCCTCAGAGGTGCCCTGGGTAACACCACGGTTGGCTTCCCGCACCCCAACGTCCCTGCGCATCACCTGGCCCCAGCCCCTCGTTCCTCCTGATGGCTACCGGGTGACACTTGTCCCCCTGGTGAGTAGGACACAGGAGACATGGGGGTGGGGGCAAGGATATGGGACAGGGACGGGAGGGGACTCAGAGGGGAACAGGGACATGGAAGGGGCAAGAGCCCAGTGCCACCTGTGTGGCCACAATGGGAAGACCCCAGTATGTCCCCAAATCATCCCCATGTGTCCCCAAGGTGTCCTCAGTGGTATCCCCTATGTGTTCCAAGTATGTATAAGCCCCCACAATGTGTCCTAAATATGTGCCCAGTGCATCCCCCCAGCATGACCCCAACGTGACCCCAGTATGTCCCATGGCGTCCAGTGTGTCCCCAGTGTTCCCTATGGTGTCTCCACCACGTTCCTGGTGTGTTCCCACGGTGTCCCCAATGTATCCCTCAACACACTCCCAATGAGTCACCACACTGTCCTCACTGTGTCCCCAACATGTCTCCAATGTGTCCCTCAAGTTCCCAACATGTTCCTCAATGTGTCCCCAGTGTCTCCCTGTGGTGTCCCCATGGTTTCCCCCCATCCCCTCACGCTGTCCCCCTCCCCAGGATGACCCTGTGGCCATGACAACGCACGAACTGCCCAGCTCTGCTGTTGCCTTCTCAGTGACAGGGCTGTCACCGGGCCGCCCCTTCGAGCTGCTGGTCCAGGCCCGGCGGGGGCCGCACCTGGGGGCACCCGGGGTCCTGCGTCTGCGCACAGGTGGGGACACTTGGGGACACCACAGGGAGACACTGGGGACACTGTGGGAATAGGGAAGGGGGTGAGGCAACAGGAACAGGGGTAAGGGTGGGAATGGCATGGGGATGAGGATGGAGAGAGCCTGGGGTCCTACACCTGTGCACAGGTGGGGACACCTGGGAACAAGGCAGCGGGCACGGAGATGGAGTTAGGGACACAGCAGGGACAGAAATGGGAGTAGGGATGGAAGGAAAGGCATGGGGACAGTGAGTGGCATGGGGACAGGGACAGGGTGGTATACAGGCAGTGGGAATGGGGATGGCACAGGGATGGGGACAGTGATGACATGGGGTCACCATGGGGGCAGGGACAGCAAGAGGACAAGGATGGGGTTGGGGCTGGCATGGGCATGGGGACAGTGATAGCACAGTGTCACCATTAAGGGGACAGCCTAGATGTGTGGTCAGGAGCGGCACAGAGGTGGTGACAGCATGGGGACAGTGTGGCATTGAACAGAGATGGGCTGGCACAAGGATGGGGCTGGGGACGGCGATGGCATAATCAAGGGGGTGGGGACAAGGATGGGAACAGGGATGCCAGGGAAACAGGGATAGGGTTGTATCCATAGGCATGGATGTAGGGGGTAACATGGACATGGGGACAGGGGTGGGGATGACCCAGGGATTGGGACAGGGATGTCTCCCAGGGACTCTCTGTGACAGATTGGTGACATGGGTCCTCTTTGTTCTACAGCACTCATCCCGTCTGTGCCTCACTATGAGGGGTCCCCGGGGTCACCTCAGGGTTCTCTGGGGTCCCCAGCAGTGGCACCATCAGTCCGAGGGCCCCCAGAGTCCCCAGGATCCCCAGGGTCACTGGGGTCCCCAGGGTCACAGGTGTCACCCATATCACCAGATTTGTCCTTGGGGTCACCTGGGTCTTTGGGGTCACCAGCACCCCACAAGGTTCCAGCAACTCCAGTAGCTCGAGGGTCCCTGGGATCCCCAGCACCTGCAAGGTCATCAGTGTCACCAGAATCCCCAGAGTCACCAGCATCACCAGAATTCCCAGGATCATCAGTGTCACCAGATTTCTCAGTGTCCCCAGAGTCCCCATTGTCCCCAGAGTCCCCAGAGCTGCCATGGTCCCCAGAGTCCCCAGTGTTTCCAGGGTCTCCTCCACCCCCGTGGTCCCCAGTGTCCCCGTGGCCCCCACTGTCCCCAGGCATCCCCTCCCTGCAGGACCTGGTGGCCCGGCTGTCCACATACAGTGGATCCCTGCTCCAGCGTCTCGAGAGCCACCTTCGGGCTACCAACTTCCCACTCCGTGGCAACCAGACAGTGCCAGGGGTGGCCCGTGCCATCCTGGCCTACATCCTGCGCCGGCACCCAACCCTTGGGAGAGGACAGGGACCCGCAGGTGGATGTCACAGCGGGGGCTGAACCAGCAGGGTGTGGGGACACTGGGGAGGGAGAGGGGGGAAAAGGATGCCTCAGGGATGGAGGGTACAAGGGGAGAGACATCCTGGAAAGCGGAACAGGGGGGATGGGGAGAAAGGAACATCACAGGGAGGGGAATGCAGGGAGGTGGTTGGGGAGATTGTGGGAGTGGGATAGGACAGGGAAGGGACATTCCAGGGAGGGTGGGATGGAAGGGATGGGGGAAGAGGAACAGGGAAGATGGGGAGGATGGGTGGAAGGGACATCCTGAGAAGGAGGAGGATACAGGGATGAGCAGGAGGGACATCCTGGGGAGGGAAATGAGAGAGATGGGGTGGCAGGGATGTCCTGTAACACACTCTCTGGGGGCAGGGGAGGGTGGAAACCAGGAGCCAGTGCTGGAATGGGGAGAAATGGATGGGATGAAGCTGACGGAGCCATGGAGGGACGTGGGGAAAACAGGTACTGATGGGGGGGCTGATGGATGGGATGAGCGCAGGTGTTGGACTTGATGACCCTTGTGGGTCGCATCCAATTCAGAAGATTCTGTGTTTCTGTGATACCTGGGATGGAGAGAGGAGGAATGGATGGATGGATGGCACATGGATTGGAGAGATGGAGAGCCTGATGAATGGAGACATGAATGGAGGAGGGAATGGATGAAGAGGTGGAGGGATAAGGGAGGGATAGATGGAGGGAGGGCTGGAAACATGGATGGCCATGTGAATGGACAGACAGATGCCTGTGCCCACACTGTTCCCACTCCGTTGCAGTCAAAACTGAGCCAGAAGAGCTGCGTCCATCCCAGCCAGTCCTGGGTGACCTCAGTGTCACCAGCATCACCCCCAGCTCCATGCAGCTGCAGTGGAGCGTCCCTGAGGGCTCCTTTGACTCCTTCATGCTGCAGTACCGGGATGCCCAGGGCCAGCCCCAGGCCATGCCCATCGATGGCGAGTCCCACTCAGTGATTGTGCCAGGGCTGTCCCCATCTCACCGGTACCGCTTCCACCTCTACGGGCTGCGGGGTGAGAAGAGGATCGACCGTGTCTCCATTGATGTCATCACAGGTGAGGGTGGACGGATGAATAGATGATGGATGGAGGGATCAGTATATCCCATCTCATCCTATCCTCACCTGCTATCAAGAACCCAGTGACATCATCCATCATCATCCATCACCCATCCCACATCTGTCCACCCAAGCTGTCCCCAGTTTCCCCCAATCCCAAGTGTGCCAGCTTGGGGATGGAGGACAGGTAACAGCACAGTAGGGTGGCTGGCTGGCTGGAGGGATAGAAGTGGTGGAAGGAAGGAAGGAAGGAAGGAAGGAAGGAAGGAAGGAAGGAAGGAAGGAAGGAAGGAAGGTTACTGTGATGGGAAGTGATGGATGGTGATGATGATGATGATCAATGGTGAATGGATGATGGTTGTTGGGGCAATTTGCTGGAGGTTTGATGTATCAAATCAGTGGTTAAGTGGCTGGATGATCCAAATGAGGGAGAAGTTAAAGAATCAATTGAGAGGAAAGGTGCCTGCAAAGAACCGTGCTTAAATGGATGAGTTGACGATGAAAGCCAGAATGAATGATCCAGGACATGAAAGTGTGGATGGGTGTTCAGATGGACCCACCCATCACCATCCCCTCTCCATCACAGCTGCAGAAGAGCCAGAGGAGCTGTCGTTGCCCTCAGAGGAGCCCCAACATGAGAAATCCCAAACTGAGGCCCCTGCATCAAATGCATCCCCAGCACGGGCAGCACTGGGGGAGCTGAGGGTCGCCAGCATCAGCCCCAGCTCTGTGCAGCTGCACTGGAGCATCCTTGAGGGCTCGTTTGACTCCTTCATGCTGCAGTACCGGGATGCCCAGGGCCAGCCCCAGGCCCTGCCCATCGATGGCGAGTCCCACTCAGTGACGGTGCCAGGGCTGTCCCCTTCCCGGCGGTACCGCTTCCACCTCTATGGGCTGAGGGGCAGGAAGAAGATTGACCATGTCTCCACCGAGACCATGACAGGTAAGGGGAATGGTCAGAGGGGGGAGGGTCGGTAGATGGGTGGATGAAGAATGATGGGAAGGTGGAAAGATGGAGGGATCAAGGGATGGAGGATTGGGTGGGTTGAGGAAGACATGGAGGAGGTGCAGGAGTAGATGGATGGATGGATGGATGGATGGATGGATGGATGGATGGATGGATGGATGAATAGTGGATCATTGTTGTTGGGGGCATTTTGTTGGTGGTTTGACATATCAGAGCAGTGATTGGGTGGTTGGATGACCCAGTACAAGATGAGATTAAAGAAGGAGTTGAAGGAAAAGGTGTATGGTATCTTTGTGAATGAATGCATGGGTTGGTTGGTGGGTGGTGGGGTGGATGTTTGGGTGGACACTGGCATTCCCACACCCATCACTATCTACTGTCCACCACAGCTACAGCAGAGCCAGAGGAGCTGCCCCTGCCCTCACAGAAGCCCCAACATAAAAAACCTCGAACTGAGTCCCTGGCATCTGAGGCACCTCTTGTGCAGGCGGTGCTGGGTGAGCTGAAGGTCTCCAGTGTCACACCCGACTCTGTGCAGTTGCAGTGGAATGTCCCTGAGGGCTCCTTTGACTCCTTCATGCTGCAGTACCGGGATGCCCAGGGCCAGCCCCAGGCCCTGCCCATCGACGGGAGGTCAGACTCTGTGATGGTGCCGGGGCTGTCCCCATCCCAGCGGTACCGCTTCCACCTCTATGGGTTGCAGGGTAGGAAGAAGATTGACCATGTATCCATTGAGGCTGTGACAGGTGAGGGAGAAGGTCAGGGGGGTGAGAGTGCATAGTGGGAGGGAGAGGGAGGGATTAAGGGATGGGGGTACAGGTGGGTGAAGGAAGGGATAGAGAGGTGCAGGAGTGGAAAGATGGAGGATGGATGGATGGATGGATGGATGGATGGATGGATGGATGGATGGTGTTTGGAGAATTGCATGGATAGATGCACAGTTAAGGTGAGAGATGGATGCATTGATGGATGGATTGATGAATGCATAGAGGAAGAGATGAGGAATGGGTGGATGATTGAAAATGAATGGTGGCTCCTGAGTGAGTTAGTTGGTTGGGTAGGTTGAAGGATAGGGGGTGGTGGGGAATGCATGGATAGTGATGGATGATATATCGATGGAGGGTGGCCTCCTGGGTGGATTGGATGGATGAATGCTGAATGGACACGTGGCTGGACAGGTGCACATGCAGCTGAGTCCATGGCTGGTTTCTCCCCTGACTGAGGTTGTGATTATAGGGGAACAGGGGTGTAAGACTGTATTCAAACCAGATTCAAATAGGGTTGTATTGAAGGACTGACTGAAGGAAACAAGATGGATGGATAAATGAATGGATGAAGATGGATAATGGATGATAGCTGTTGGAACAGTTTGACTGTGATTTTACATGTCAGATCAGTTGGTGGGTAGTTGGATGACCCAATGCATGGTGAGGTTAAAGGATTTGAAGGAAAATGTGCATGGTATGAACTGTAGCTACATGGATGGGTATATGATGGGAGCTGGAATGAACAGTCCTGCAGATAAAAGTGTAAATGGAAGGATGTATGCATTGATTGGTGGGTAGGGGGATGGATGATTGGAGGGACACAGGGATTACCATGCCATCATCCATTGCAGGCACAGAAGAGCCAGAGGAGATGTTCCTGCCCTCAGAGGAGCAAAAACATGAGAAACTTCAAACTGAGACACCCCCATCTGAGGCCCCCGTGGTGCAGGCAGTGCTGGGGGAGCTGAGGGTCTCCAGTGTCACATCTGACTCTGTCCAGCTGCAGTGGAGTGTCCCTGAGGGCTTCTTTGACTCTTTCACACTACAGTACCGGGATGCCCAGGGCCAGCCCCAGGCCCTGCCCATTCATGGAGGGTCCCGATCCGTGACAGTGCCAGGACTGTCCCCATCCCGCCGGTACCGTTTCCACCTGTATGGGTTGCAGGGCAGGAAGAAGACTGACCGTGTCTCTATTGATATTATCACAGGTGAGATGGGAGGTCAGCGGGACGGATGGATGGATGGATAGATGGATGGATCAAGAGATCCCACTCCCATTCCATCCCCATATGTCAGTGAGCATCCACTTACATGGGCACTGTCCAATCAACCATTGACATTTCCACTGACCTGGTGACCAACATTTGCCATCCACTATCATCATCATCATCATCATCATCATCGTCATCCATTTATTATCCATCATTATAATCCATAATTTTTATCCACCATGTATGACCACTGCCACCATCATCATCATTCATAAATCTTTATCATCATTCATCAGTCATCTTCCATCCATCTATTCTTCCGTCCAGTTCATCTGTCAGTGATAGATGGCTGAAAGAACAGAATATTGTCCATGGGAAATGGGGTTAGGAGGGACAGAGGCCTGGAGGGTTGTGGGAAGCAAGAACGAGAGCTCAATGGAATTGGGTGGAGGTTGGGATGAATGGATGGATGGATGGATGGATGGATGGATGGATGGATGGATGGATTGGTAAGTGGTGGGATGGACATTTGGAGGGACACAGGCATTTCCACAGCCATCACCATCCCCTCTCCACAGGAGCTGCAGAAGAGCCAGAGGAACTGCCCTTGCCCACAGAGGAACCACAGCAGGAGAAACCCCAAACTGAGGCCCCCACATCTGAGACCACTCCAGCAAAGGCGGTGCTGGAAGACCTGAGGGTCTCGAGTGTCACCCCAAGCTCTGTGCAGCTGCACTGGACTGTCCCCAGGGGCTCCTTTGACTCCTTCATGCTGCAGTACCGGGATGCCCAGGGCCAGCCCCAAGCCCTGCCTGTTGATGGAGGGTCTCGCTCGGTGACAGTGCCTGGCTTGTCCCCATCCCATCGGTACCGCTTCCACCTCTATGGGCTGCGTGGAGGCAAAAGGATTGACCGTGTCTCTACCGACACTGTCACAGGTGAGGCAGACGGTCAAAGGGATGGAGGGATCACAAAATGGAGGCATCAAGGGATCCTATGCCCGTCCCATACTCACCAGCCAGCAGCCATTGACTCAGCACCATGTGATCAACCATCAACCCTTCCACCAACCTATTGACTAGCACCTTCCATCATCCACCATCAGCAGCAGCAACCATCAATTATCCATTGTCACAATCATCTTCCTCTACCATGTATCTCCATCACCATCATCCATCTATTATCATGCCTCCATCTATCCTTCCATGCTTCCCTCATCCTGTATCCATCAAGGATGGATTGAATGATGGATGAATGAAAGATTGTCCATGGGAAATGGGGATGGTAAGGGTGAAGGCAAGGAGAGATGTGATTAGAAAGAGGCAGAGAGATTGATGTGGAAGTGTCTGTGGGGTTGTGTTGTATGTTGGGTGTGTGACTGGAAGAATGGATGGATGGATGGATGGATGGATGGATGGATGGATGGATGGACGGATGAATGGTTGATCCAATGACCGACACATGGGTGAATGGATGGCTTGCTTGGTAGGTGGTGGGATGGACATTTGGAGGGAGATGTGGATGCCCTTGCTTTTTACAATTTCCTCTCCAATGCAGCCAGTGAAGAACCCTTGCCCTCCGAGGAGCCCCAACAGGAGAAGCCCAAAACTGAGTCCCTGGCATCTGAGGCACTCCCTGCACGAGCGGTGCTGGGAGAGTTGAGAGTCTCCAGTGTCACACCCAACTCTGTGCAGCTGCAGTGGAATGTCCCAGGGGGCTCCTTTGACTCTTTCATGCTGCAGTACCGTGATGTCCAAGGCCAGCCGCAGGCCCTGCCCATTGATGGCGAGTCCCGCTCAGTGATGGTGCCAGGGCTGTCCCCTTCCCAGCGGTACCGCTTCCACCTCTATGGGCTGAGGGGCCGGAAGAAGACTGACCATGCCTCCACTGAGGTCATGACAGGTAAGGGGGGAGTAAGGGTGGGTGGATGTATGGATGAAGAATACTGGATAAATGGAGACACAGATGGGTGATGGGAGGGAGGAATGGGTGAATGGAGGAAGGAATGGAGAGGTGGAGGAGTGGATGTATGGATGGATGAATGGAATGATGGATGGACGGATGGATGGATGGACAGATGGATGATGGAAACCAGAATGAATGGTCTAGAATATGGAAATGTGGAAGTGTGGATGGATGGATGTTTGGATGTAAGCAGCCATTAACATCCCTTCTCCATAGGAGCTGCAGAAGAGCCAGAGGAACTGCCCCTGCCCACAGCGGAACCGGAGCAGGAGAAACCCCAAACTGAGGCCCCCACATCTGAGGCCACTCCAGCCAAGGCGGTGCTGGAAGACCTGAGGGTCTCGAGTGTCACCCCAAGCTCTGTGCAGCTGCACTGGACTGTCCCCAGGGGCTCCTTTGACTCCTTCATGCTGCAGTACCGGGATGCCCAGGGCCAGCCCCAAGCCCTGCCTGTTGATGGGGGGTCTCGCTCGGTGACAGTGCCTGGCTTGTCCCCATCCCATCGGTACCGCTTCCACCTCTATGGGCTGCGTGGAGGCAAAAGGATTGACCGTGTCTCTACCGACACTGTCACAGGTGAGGCAGACGGTCAAAGGGATGGAAGGATCAAAAATGGAGACATCAAGGGATATCTCATTCCCATCACATACCCACCAGCGCGCAGCCATTGACTCAGCACCATGTGATCAACCATCAACCCTTCCACCAACCTATTGACTAGCACTTTCCATCATCCATCATCCACCATCAGCAGCAGCAACCATCAATTATCCATTGTCACCCATCATCTTCCTCTGCCATGTGTCTCTATCACCATCATCCATTTATTATCATGCATCCATCTATCCTTTCGTGCTTCCCTCATCCTTTATCCATCAAGGATGGATTGGATGATGGATGAATGGAAGATTGCCCATTGGAAATGGGAGAGGGAAGGATGAAGGCAAGGAGAGATGTGATTAGAAAGAGGCAGAGAGATTGATGTGGATATGTAGGGGGTTGTGTTGTTTGTTGGGTGTGAGAAGAAGGACGGACGGACGGACTGATGGATGGATGGATGGATGGATGGATGGATGGATGGATGGATGGACAGACAATCCAATGACGGACACGTGGGTAAATGGACAGATTGATTGGTGGATGGTGGGATGGATATTTAGAGGGACACATGAATGCCCATGCCCATTACCATTTCTCCAATGCAGCCAGGGAAGAACCCTTGCCTTCCGAGGAGCCCCAAAAGGAGAAGCCCAAAACTGAGTCCCCGGCATCTGAGGCACTCCCAGCAAGAGCAGTGCTGGGGGAGCTGAAGGTCTCCAGTGTCACATCCGACTCTGTGCAGCTGCAGTGGAATGTCCCTGAGGGCTCCTTTGACTCCTTCATGCTGCAGTACCGGGATGCTCAGGGCCAGCCGCAGGCCCTGCCCATCGATGGCAAGTTCCGCTCAGTGACAGTGTCAGGGCTGTCCCCTTCCCAGTGGTACCGCTTCCACCTCTGTGGGTTGCAGGGCAGAAAGAAGATTGATTGTGTGTCCACTGGGGTCATGACAGGTAAGGGGGGAGGAAGGCTGGATGGATGTATGGATGAAGAATATTGGGTATATGGAGAGTTGGAGGAGTGAAGGAATGGAGGAATGGGTGACTGGAGGAAAGGGTGGAGTGGTGGATGGTGGATGGTGGAGGAATACAGGAATGGATGGAATAATGGATGGAAGATGAAAGCCAAAATGAATGGTCCAGAATATGGAAATGTTGAAGTGTGGATGGATGGGTTGGTTGGTAGGTGCTGGATGGATGTTTGGATGGAAGTAGGCATTACCATCCCTTCTCCATAGGAGCTGCAGAAGAGCCAGAGGAACTGCCCTTGCCCACAGAGGAACCGCAGCAGGAGAAACCCCAAACTGAGGCCCCCACATCTGAGGCCACTCCAGCCAAGGCGGTGCTGGAAGACCTGAGGGTCTCGAGTGTCACCCCGAGTTCTGTGCAGCTGCACTGGACTGTCCCCAAGGGCTCCTTTGACTCCTTCATGCTACAGTACCGGGATGCCCAGGGTCAGCCCCAGGCCCTGCCCATCGATGGCGAGTCCCACTCAGTGACGGTGCCAGGGCTGTCCCCTTCCCAGCGGTACCGCTTCCACCTCTATGGGCTGAAGGGCAGGAAGAAGATTGACCATGTGTCCACTGAGGTTGTGACAGGTGAGGGAGAAGGTCAAGGGGAGTAAGGGTGGGTGAATGTATGGATGAAGAATAATGGATGTATGGAGAGATGGTGGGATGACGGTACCGCTTCCACCTCTATGGGCTGCGTGGAGGCAAAAGGATTGACCGTGTCTCTACTGACACTGTCACAGGTGAGGCAGACGGTCAAAGGGATGGAGGGATCACAAAATGGAGGCATCAAGGGATCCTATGCCCGTCCCATACTCACCAGCCAGCAGCCATTGACTCAGCACCATGTGATCAACCATCAACCCTTCCACCAACCTATTGACTAGCACCTTCCATCATCCACCATCAGCAGCAGCACCCATCAATTATCTACTATCATCCATCATTTTCATCTACCATGTATCTCCATCACCATCATCCATCTATTATCATGCCTCCATCTATCCTTCCATGCTTCCCTCATCCTGTATCCATCAAGGATGGATTGAATGATGGATGAATGAAAGATTGTCCATGGGAAATGGGGATGGGAGGCATGAAGGCATCAAGAGATGTAATTAGAAAGAATCAGAGAGGTTGATATGGAGCTGTCTGTGGGGTTGTGTTGTATGTTGGGTGTGTGATGGGAAGAATGTTTGGACGGACAGATGGACAGATGGACGAACAGTCGGACAGACAGACAGATGGGTGGATGGATTGATGGATGGATGGATGGTTGATCCAATGACTGACACATGGGTGAATGAATGGCTTGCTTAGTAGGTGGTGGGATGGACATTTGGAGGGACACGTGGATGCCCTCGCTTTTTACAATTTCCTCTCCAATGCAGCCAGTGAAGAACCCTTGCCCTCCGAGGAGCCCCAACAGGAGAAGCCCAAAACTGAGTCCCCGGCATCTGAGGCACTCCCTGCACGAGCGGTGCTGGGAGAGTTGAAGGTCTCCAGTGTCACACCCGACTCTGTGCAGCTGCAGTGGAATGTCCCAGGGGGCTCCTTTGACTCCTTCATGCTGCAGTATCGTGATGTCCAAGGCCAGCCCCAAGCCCTGCCTGTTGATGGGGAGTCTCGCTCGGTGACAGTGTCTGGCTTGTCCCCATCCCATCGGTACCGCTTCCACCTCTATGGGCTGAAGGGCAGGAAGAAGATTGACCATGTGTCCACTGAGGTTGTGACAGGTGAGGGAGAAGGTCAAGGGAAGTAAGGGTGGGTGGGTATATGGATGAAGAAGAATGGCTTTATGGAGAGAAGGTGGGATGAATGGATGGAGGAATGGGTGATGGGAGGAAGGGATGGAGTGGTGGAGGGATGAAGCAATAAAGCAATGGATGGATGGAGGGAGGGATGGATGGATGGATGGATGGATGGATGGATGGATGGTTGCCAGAATGTATGGTCTAGAATATGGAAGTGTGGATGAATGAGTGGGTTGGTAGGTGATGGATGGATGTTTGGATGGAAATAGGTATTACCATCCCTTCTCCATAGGAGCTGCAGAAGAGCCACAGGAGCTGCCCTTGCCCACAGCAGAACCACAGCATGAGAAACCCCAAACTGAGGCCCCCACATCTGAGACCACTCAAGCAAAGGCGGTGCTGGAAGATTTGAGGGTCTCGAGCATCACCCCAAGCTCTGTGCAGCTACACTGGACTGTCCCCAGGGGCTCCTTTGACTCCTTCATGGGTGAATGGATGGCTTGTTTGGTGGGTGTGGGATGGACATTTAGAGGGACACATGGATGCCCATGCCCTTTACTATATCCTCTCCAATTCAGCCAGAGAAGAGCCCTTGCCCTCAGAGAAGCCCCAACAGGAGAAGCCCAAAACTGAGTCCCCGGCATCTGAGGCACTCCCAGTAAGAGCTGTGCTGGGGGAGCTGAGAGTCTCCAGTGCCACGCCCAACTCTGTGCAGCTGCAGTGGAATGTCCCTGAGGGCTCCTTTGACTCCTTTGTGCTGCAGTATCGTGATGTCCAAGGCCAGCCGCAGGCCCTGCCCATCGATGGCGAGTCCCGCTCAGTGATGGTGCCAGAGCTGTCCCCTTCCCAGCGGTACCGCTTCCACCTCTATGGGCTGAGGGGCCGGAAGAAGACTGACCATGCCTCCACTGAGGTCATGACAGGTAAGGGGGGAGTAAGGGTGGGTGGATGTATGGATGAAGAATAATGGATGTATGGAGAGATGGTGGGATGAAGGGATGGAGGGAGGAACAGATGGAGGTATGGGTGATTGGTGGAAGGGATGGAGTGGTGGAGGGATGGACGAATACAGGGATGGATGGATGGATGGATGGATGGATGGATGGATGGATGGCCAGCAGATTTATGGCTGAGCCTCTGGTTGTTTTGTGTCCTGGGTTGGGGAGGTGCACGGCAATATGAGTGTGGATGGTGGATTGGATTCCAGGACTGACTGAAGGAAACAGGCTGTATCAAGGGATCCCATGCCCATTACATACTCACCAGCGAGCCGCCATTAACTCAGCACCATGTGATCAACCATCAACCCTTCCACCAACCTATTGACTAGCACCTTCCATCATCCATCATCCACCATCAGCAGCAGCAACCATCAATTATCCATTGTCACCAATCATCTTCATCTACCATGTATCTCCATCACCATCATCCATCTATTATCATGCCTCCATCTATCCTTCCATGCTTCCCTCATCCTCTATCCATCAAGGATGGACTGAATGATGGATGAATGGAAGATTGTACATGTGAAATGGGGGAGGGAGAGATGAAGACATGATAAGAAAGAGACAGTGAGGTTGATATGGAACTTTCTATGGGGTTGTGTTGTATGTTGGGTGCATGATGGGAAGGATGGATGGATGGATGGATGGATGGATGGATGGATGGATGGACGGACGGACGGACATATGGTTGAATGGCTGGATTGGTTGCTTTGTGGTGGGATGGACTTTTGGAGGGGCGTGTGTGTGGTCATCACCTTTACTATCTTTTCTCCAATGCAGCCAGTGAAGACCACTTGCCTTCTGTCAAGCCCCAACAGGGGAAGCCCAGAACTGAGTCCCCGGCATCTGAGGCACTCCCTGCACGAGCGGTGCTGGGGGAGCTGAGAGTCTCCAGTGTCACACCCAACTCTGTGCAGCTACAGTGGAGCATCTCTGAGGGCTCCTTTGACTCCTTCATGCTGCAGTATCGTGATGCCCAGGGCCAGCCCCAGGCCCTGCCCATCGATGGCGAGGCCCACTCAGTGACGTTGCCAGGGCTGTCCCCTTCCCAGCGGTACCGCTTCCACCTCTATGGGCTGTGGGGCAGGAAGAAGATTGACCATGTGTCCACTGAGGTTGTTACAGGTAAGTGGGAAGTTCATGGGGAGGAATGCTGGGTGGATGTATGGGTGAAGAAGAATGGATACATGGGGAGATGGGGGGATAAAAGGATGGAGGGTTGGTTAAGTGGAGAAAGGCTTGGAATGGCGGAGCCGTGGAGCAATAGAGGAATGGATGGAATGATGGATGGATGGATGGATGGATGGATGGATGCATGCATGCATGCATGCATGCATGCATGGATGGTGTCAGTGGTGTGTTGGATGTTTGGAGAGACAGAGGCATTCCTATGCCCATCACCCTCCCCTCTGCATCGCAGCTGCAGAAGAGCCAGTGTACCTGCCTCTGTTCTAAGAGAAGCACTGACCTGGCGACGCCCCATTTGGTGCTTCCCTACCTAAGACACCTCTTGTTCGTGAGGTTCTAGGAGTTCTAAGATTTTCCAGTATCATCCTCCAGCTCTGTGGAGCTGTTGTGGAGTTTCCATGAGGACCTGTTTGACTCCTTTATGCTGTAATCCTGGGATGCCCAGGGCCAGCCCCAGACCCTGATGGTCACTGGCGAGTCCCACTCAGTTACAGTGCTGGGGCTATCCCCCTCTCATCTGTACCACTTCCACCTGTGCGGGCTGCATGGAGGCAAAACAATTGACCATGTCTCCACTGATGTCATAAGAGGTGACAGGAAATCTTAGAGGGGAGACCAGTTGGAGAGATGTTTGTAAAGGCGGAGAGATTGACGTGGAGATGGATGGAGAGATTGATGATGGATGCATTTGTGTAGTGTTGGGTGGAATCATGAGGAGAAGGATGGACAGGTGAACACGAGGATCACTGGGTGCCTGAAGAACTGGACGATGATGGGATGAATGGAGGGTTGGGTGGATGGATGAATGGTAACTGAACACACTGATGAATAGCCGGGTAGCTGAAGAAGTCTGCATGGATGGACTGTGAGATTCTACTCTAAACACTGGGTTTGAGACAGATTGATGATGGATGCCTGGATGGATACATGGATGATGGGCGTTGTTGGTCAACAGGCAGGGAGGAAGTATCAATCATTAAGTGGATGTTTTCTGGGACTTGTGATTGCTTGATGATGGATGGTGATGTGGAGGGGAAGGAGCAATGGGTGGAATTGGGCAGGGAAACTAGAGACAGCTTGGAGATGAAGAGATGGCTGGAACCATGGGAGGGTGGTGTGATGAAGAGATTGATGTTGTTTGGATGGATGGATGGATGGATGGATGGATGGATGGATGGATGGATGGATGGATGATGGTGGATATTAGATGAATCAAGATGATGGTTCATGTTGATAATGACAATGATGAAGATGGTGGATGATGGCAGATGCTAGTCAGTGAGTCCATGAAAGAGTCAGTGATTGATTGAATGGGGCTGGGGTAAATGGGTGCTCAGTGATGGGTGAGGAGGGAATGGTGAGAAGGGAATGGGAGGATATGGTGCATGATGGATAATGGATAGTTGGGTGGATGACGGATGGACGTATGGATGGACATACTCATGCCCACACCCATCATTGTCCTCTCTCTGTTGTTTCTGCAGGCACCCCAGAGGATCTTCCCCCACCCTCAAAGGACCCCACAGATGAGGCATCCACAACTGAGGCCCCTACAGCTCAGGACCACAAACCTGAGCATTCCCAAACTGAGGCCCCCTCAGCACAGGCAGCACTGGGAGAGCTGAAGGTGTCCAGTATCACACCTGACTCTGTGGAGCTGCAGTGGAGTGTACCAGAGGGCTCCTTTGACTCCTTCACACTGCAGTACCAGGATGCCCAGGGCCAGCCCCAGGCCCTGCCCATCGATGGCGGGTCCCGCTCAGTGACGGTGCCAGGGCTGTCCCTATCCCACCGGTACCGCTTCCACCTCTATGGGCTGAACAGAGGGAAAAGGATTGACCACATTTCCATCGACATCAGCACAGGTGAGAGGGAAAGTCAGAGGAAAGATGGGATGAGAGATAGATGGAGGGATCGAGAGGTAGAGACATCAAGGGATGGATAAATCAAGTGTTTCCATTCCCATCCCATCCCCATCCCACATGAAGCACTTTTCTAGTCTGTCATCATCCAGTCAACCATCAACCCTTCCACTGACCTATTGAACAACACCCGCCATCATCCATCATTATCATCGTCATCCATCATCATAATTCACCATCATCATCATCAACTATCAACTATGCATGACCACCAGTAATATCCATTATCACCATCATCATCATCATCATCATCATCATCATCATGATTTGCTATCCATGAAGGACAACTGAATGGTTTTACAGATTCCAGTGTGGATGTTGGGTGGGTTCCTGAAGGAAGTAGGTGAATGGGTTGATGGGTGGTTGGGAAGGTGGGATGGATGGATGGATGGATGGATGGATGGATGGATGGATGGATGGATGGAGGGTTCCTGCTGTCCAGATATGTGTCTTGATGGACAGAAGATTGTCAATGGGAAGTGGGGGCTGGGAGGGGTGGAGGCAATCTGGGAATGTGGAGGAACAGAAACAGAGATGAATATAGTATCGGGTGGGGGGGTTGGGTTGGCGGTAGGTGATGGATGGACATATGGATGAACACATGGACAGCCACAGCCATCACTGTCCCCTCTGCACAGCAGCCACAGACAAGCAAGAGGAGCCACCCTTCCCCTCAGAGGAGCCCCAAACTGAAACCCCGCCATCTGAGGACAACCAACCTGAGCACCCCCAAACTGAGGTTCCCCCAGTGCGGGCAGTGCTGGGAGAGCTGAAGGTCTCCAGTGTCACGCCCAACTCCGTTCAGCTACAGTGGAGCATCCCTGAGGGCTCCTTTGACTCCTTCATGCTGCAGTACCGGGATGCCCAGGGCCAGCCCCAGGCCCTGCCCATCGATGGCGAGTCCCGCTCAGTGACTGTGCCAGGGCTGTCCCCTTCCCAGCGGTACCGCTTCCACCTCTATGGGCTGCGGGGCAGGAAGAGGACGGACCATGTCTCCACCGACATTATCACAGGTGAGGGGGAAGGTCAGAAAGTGAAAGGGTTGGAGAGGTGGCTGTAAGGATGGAGAGATGGAGAGATGAAAGGATCCCATGTCAATCCCATCCCTACCTGCCATTCAGTACCTACTGACACCAGCATCATCCAATGAACCATTGACCCTTCCACTGGCCTATTAGCCAACACTCAGCATCACCCATCGTCATCATCATTATTTAATTGGATAGATCCATTATCTGTCTATCACCAATCACCGATCCCTCCATTCCTAGGTGGCTCCACTTTTCCCCAGTTTCCCAGAATGGTAGTGGAGAATGTGTGGGACTGTTAGCAAGGTAGAGGGATGGATGGATAGATGAATGATTATGTTGATGATGCTGATGATTGTGATGATAAATAGATGAAGATTATGGGTGATGGAAGATGGATAAACAATGGATGGTGCATGCAAAATGGAATGGATGGACAGTGGATGGATGGATGGATGGATGGATGGATGGATGGATGGATGGATGGAAGTGATGGATGATGGATGGATGGGTGGTTGGGTGGATGATAGATGGACTTGTTGATGGACAAGCAGATGCCCAGGACCATCAGTATCCCCTCTCCATCACAGCTGCAGCAAAGACAGAGGAGCTGCCCCTGACCTCAGAGGAGCCACCCCTGACCTCAGAGGAGCCCGAAACTGAGGCCATCTCATCTGATGCCCTGCCAGCACGGGCAGTGCTGGGGGAGCTGAAGGTCTCCAGTGTCACACCCAACTCTGTGCAGCTGCAGTGGAATGTCCCAGAGGGCTCCTTTGACTCCTTTGCACTGCAGTACCGGGATGCCCAGGGCCAGCCCCAGGCCCTGCCCATCGATGGTGGGTCCCGCTCAGTGACAGTGCCAGGGCTGTCCCCATCCCACCGGTACCGCTTCCACCTCTACGGGTTGCAAGGTGGGAAAAGGATTGACCACGTGTCCACTGATATCGTGACAGGTGAGGGGTGCTCAGGCCCCATCTGCACCCATGGTGCATTGAAGCTCTCACATGGTCCTTTAAGCTTCGGGAGTCTGGGAAGTGCTTCTGGGGCTTGAGATGGGGGTGGGAATGTGGAGTCCAGAGGGATGGAGCGTACAGGGATGTGTGGAGCCATGGATAGATGAGGGATGATGGGTAATGATGGATGATTGATGATGGGTTATGGATGATGGTGGGTTGTTGGTCAATGGGTAGGTGGAAAGATCAGTGACTGAACAGATGCTTCTGGGACCAGTGAGATACAACCAACCATCCATTCATCCATCCATCCATCCATCCATCCATCCATCCATCCATCCACCCATCCATTTATTTTTTCTACCCAAACATTCCTCTGTCCATCCATTCATCACTCTTTTTAGTGTTCAACCATCATCCACAGCAACCATCTCCTTCTGGTACATATTTGGATACCCCTTCCTTCCTTCCTTCCTTCCTTCCTTCCTTCCTTCCTTCCTTCCTTCCTTCCTTCCTTCCTTCCTTCCTTCCTTCCTTCCTCCACCTCCTTCCGCCACTTCCTTCCTCCACTTCCTTCCACCACTTCCTTCCACCACTTCCTTCCCCCATCCTTGTCTTCCTCATTCCCTCCATCCACACACCCTGTCCCCATCCCACTTTGATCCTCTCTCCATTCCAGCTCCATCCATACTTCCCCACATTTCCCTGCATGGTTACACCATTTGCACCTTTCTACCATCCCATTCCCACCTGCCATTGAGTAAACACTGACACTGGCACCATCAAATCAAACACTGACCCTTCTAATGACACAGAGACTCTGTCATCCTCCATCATCACCATCCATCATCCATCATCTGTCTAACATCCATCATCCATTTTTCCTCCCTCCCAAACTCCCCCCATCCTACACCCCAGCACTAGGGAATTGGAAACACCTCAGGGTTGGAGTGATGGCAGATTGGTAGATGATGAGGATGGAGGGGTGATGGATCAGTGGATGGGGGCTCCTGGCTCGTTTGGATGGATTGATGCTGAATCCACAGGTGGCAAGATGGGAGCATGTCTGGTTGAGCCTGTGGCTGGTTTGTGCCCAGGATAAGGGCAGGCTGTTGGGGTGGGGAGCTGAGGGCAGTTAAGGGGGAGGGAGGAACAGACTTTAGGACTGACTGAAGAAAAAGGAATGGGTGAAGGATGGAAGAGTAATGGATGATGGATGGATAGATGGATGGATGGATGGATGATGATGATGACAGTTGTTGGGGCAGGCGGTTTCACACAGATCCAGTTAACAGCTTGATTATTGAATGATTCAATGGAGGAAGAAGCTAAAGAATCACTTGTAGGAAAAGCCACATTAAAAGCCACGTGGTTGGATTGAGGGACGGTGGATGATGGATACTGGAATGAATGGTCTAGGAGATGGAGGTGTAGATGGATGGATGGATGGATGGATGGATGGATGGATGGATGGATGGATGGATGGAGTGATGGTTCAATGAACATCATTCCTTCTCTATCACACGCCTGTCATCATTCCTTCTCTATCACAGATGCAGCAGTGCCAGAGCAGCTGCCCCTACCCTCACAGGAGCCCCAACCTGAAGACCACAACCCTGAGCAGCCCCAAACTGAGCAGCCCCAAACTGAGGCCAGCCAGGGACAGGTGGTGCTGGGGAAGTTGAGGGTCTCCAGTGTCACATCCAACTCTGTGCAGCTGCAGTGGAGCGTCCCTGAGGGCTCCTTTGACTCCTTCACACTGCAGTACCGGGATGCCCAGGGCCAGCCCCAGGCCCTCGCTGTTGATGGCGGGTCCCGCTCTGTGACGGTGCCAGGGCTGTCCCCTTCCCGCCGGTACCGCTTCCACCTCTATGGGCTGAGGGACAGGAAGAGGATTGACCGAGTCTCCACTGATGTTGTCACAGGTGAGGCAGAAGGTCAGAAGGTGGAAGGACTGGGGAGATGGAAGTAGGGATGGAGAGATTAATGGAAAGATGGAAGAAAAGGTGGATTATGGATGGATGCCTGGAGGGTTGGATGGACTCATGAGTAGAAGGATGGACATGAACATCATTGGATGTCTGCAGAAATGGATAGTGAAAGGGTGGATGGAAGGCTGGGTACATGGGTGATGGATGACAGGGGTTGTTTGGCTGTTGGCAGGCGGGATTTAGTATCAATCATTAAGTGGATGTTTTTTGGGACTTGTGACTGCTTGATGATGGATGGTGATGTGGAGGGGAAGGAGCAATGGGTGGAATTGGGCAGGGAAACTAGAGAAAGTTTGGAGATGGAGAGATGGCTGGGACCATGGGAGGGTGGTGTGATGAAGAGATTGATGTTGGATGGATGGATGGATGGATGGATGGATGGATGGATGGATGGATGGATGGATGGATGATGGTGGATATTGGATGAATCAAGATGATAGATTATGTTGATTATGACAACAATGAAGATGGTGGATGATGGCAGATGCTAGTCAGTGAGTCCATGGAGGAATCAGTGATAGATTGAATAGGGCTGGGGTAAATGGGTGATCAGTGATGGGTGAGGAGGGAATGGTGAGAAGAGACTGGGAGGAAATGGTGCATGATGGATAGTTGGGTGGATGATGGATGAATGGACATACCGATGCCTACACCCATCATTGTCCCCTTTCTGTTGTTGCTGTAGCTGACCCAGAGGATCTGTCCCTACCCTCAACTGACACCCCAACTCGGGGCCCCCCAGCTGAGGATCACGAAACTTCACATTCCCAAGCTGAGGCCCCTCCATCTGCGGCCCCCTCAGCACGGGCAGTGTTAGGAGAGCTGAAGGTCTCCAGTGTCACACCCAACTCTGTGGGACTGCAGTGGAGTGTACCAGAGGGCCAGTTTGACTCCTTCACACTGCAGTACCGGGATGCCCAGGGCCAGCCCCGGGCCCTGCCCATTGATGGCGGGTTGCACTCAGTGACGGTGCCGGGGCTGTCCCCTTCCCAGCGGTACCGCTTCCACCTCTACGGGTTGCGGGGTGGGAAGAAGACTGACCATGTCTCCACTGATGTCATCACAGCTGATGGGGAAGGTCAGAGGATTGAGGGTAGGTGGATGGATGGGTGGATATATGGATATATGGATGGATGGATGGATGGATGGATGGATGGATGGATGGATGGATGGATCTTTGGATGCCCATGTCCATCATTATCCCCTCTCAACTGCAGCTGCAGCTGTGCCAGAGGAGCTGCCCCTGCCCTCAGAGGAGCCCCAAGATGAGCAACGCCAAATTAAGGCCCCATCTGCAACCACCCCAGCACGGGCAGTGCTGAAGGAACTGAGAGTCTCCAGTGTCACACCCGACTCTGTGAACTGCAGTGGAGAGTCCCTGAGGGCTCCTTTGACTCCTTCATGCTGCAGTACCGGGATGCCCAGGGCCAGCCCCAGGCCCTGCCCATCGATGGCAGGTTCCGCTCAGTGACAGTGCCAGGGCTGTCTCCATCCAGCCGGTACCGCTTCCACCTCTATGGGCTGCGGGGTGGGAAGAGGGTCTACCATACCTCCACTGAAGCTGTTACAGGTGAGGGGGATGGTCAGAGGACCAGATGGATCACAGTATGAATGGATTGAGAGATCATAGCAATCTCATCTCTACCTGCCATCTATTACCCACAGACCCCAGCACAAGCCAATAAATCATCAACCCTTCTACCAACCTATTGACCAGCACCTGCCATGCTCCACCATCATTTTCATCATCCTCTTTATCTATTATCCATCATCATCACCATCATTATTATCATCTTCCATCATCATCATGATGATTGAAGAACTGAATGGTTGAATGGATTCTGGACTGGATTGTGAGTGGATTTCTTCCCAGGTTGATGGAAGAAGGTCAAGAGATGGATGAGTGGTTGGATGAAATTGGGAAGTATAGATGGATGGTGCATTCCTGGTGGGTGGTTGGATGTCCTGAAGGATGGAAGATTGTCCATGGGAAATGGGTGGTGGAAGAGATGAAAACTTGAGTGGATGTAGAGAGAGCTGGAGAGATGACTGCAGGATTGGTTAGGGCATTGGGTTGGATGTTGGGTGAGATGGATGGATGGATGGATGGATGGATGGATGGATGGATGGATAATGAATGATGGCTCATTTTGTGGATGATGAATGCACTTTTGGATAGATATGTGGATACCCATCATCATCTCCTCTTCATTGCAGCTGCAACAAACTTGGATGAGCTACCCGTGCCTTCAGAGGAGTTCCAACCTGAGGACCCCCAATCTAAAGATCCCCCAGTTGAGTCCCCATCAACTGACACCCCCTCGGCACGGGCAGTGCTGGAAGACCTGAGGGTCTCGAGGGTCACCCCCAGCTCTGTGCAGCTGCACTGGACTGTCCCCAAGGGTCCCTTTGACTCCTTCATGCTGCAGTACCGGGATGCCCAGGGCCAGCCCCAGGCACTGCCCATCGATGGCGGGTCCCGATCGGTGACAGTGCCAGGGCTGTCCCCTTCCCGGAGGTACCGCTTCCACCTCTATGGACTGAGGGGAGGGAAAAGGATTGACCGTGTCTCTACTGACATCGTCACAGGTGAGGGGGAAAGGTCAGAGGGGTGAGGGTGGGTGAATGGAGGGATGAAGGATGATAGATGGAGGGAGAGATGGAGGGAGCAAGTGATGGAGGAACATGTTGGCGAAAGAAGGATATAGAGAAGTACAGGAGGGAGTGGATGGAGAATTGATCAATTGATGGATGGATGATGGATGGAGGGCTCCTGAATTGGTTGGTTGGTTGGTTGATCAGTGGATGGATGGATGGATGGATGGATGGATGGATGGATGACTGGCTGAACCTATTGCTGGTTTGTGCCCTGGCTGAAGGAGTGCTTGAGTGGAGGGGGGAAGGGATAGATGGAGGAATGGATTCAAGGTCTGACTGAAGTTACAAAGATGGATGATGGATGGATGTTAGATTGGTGATGGATAATGGACAGATAAAGATGGATGATGCATGATGAGTGTTGGGGCAATTTATTGGTGGTTTGATGTATCAGGTCAGTAGCTGGATGATCCAATGGAGGAAAAGGTTAAAGAATCAGTTGATGTAAAAGGTGCATGAAATGAAACATGATTGGATGGATGGATGGATGGATGGATGGATGGATGGATGGATGGATGGATTCTCACACGCATCATCATCCTGTCTCCATTGCAGCCACAGCCAAGACAGAGGACCTTCCCCTGCCCTCAGAGGAACCCCAACCTGAGGACCCCAAAGGAAAAGACCCCCCAGATGAGGCCACTCCATCTGCGGCGCCCCTGGCACGGGCAGTGCTGGGAGAGCTGGAGGTCTCCAGTGTCACCCCCAGCTCTGTGCAGTTGCAGTGGAATGTCCCTGAGGGCTCCTTTGACTCCTTCATGCTGCAGTACCGGGATGCCCAGGGCCAGCCCCAGGCACTGCCCATTGATGGCGAGTCCCGATCGGTGATGGTGCCAGGGCTGTCCCCTTCCCAACGGTACCACTTCCACCTCTATGGGCTGAGGGGAGGGAAAAGGATTGACCATGTCTCCACTGAGGCCATCACTGGTAAGGGGCTGCAAGGACTCCCCCAGAGCCTCTCAGGGAATGGAGCTGGAGTGGAGACAGGGCTGGAAGTGGGGCCCAGGGGGAGCTCGAGGAACTGGGGAATGGGGCTGTACTGGGGGAGCCAGAGAAATGAGGGGGACTAGGGAGCTCGGGGGGCACTGAGGACTGGGGAATTTAGAGGGAAGTGGGAACTGGAGGCAACCAGGGATTGGAGGGGACTGGAGATTAGGGGGAGTGCCACACCTGGAGGGACTCTGATCAGCTGGGGGCTGAGGAACTGGTAACAGCTAGGGGGACTGGCTAGAACTGGGGCCTGGGGCAATCGGGGGCCTGGGTGAAACTGTGTGGAACTGGGGAATGGGGTGAACTGGGGTGAACTGGGGCTGGGGTGGAGCTGAGGACTGGCAAAGACTGAGGGAATCTGGGCACTGGGAAGAATTTTGGGGGTACTGCATATCTGGGGATCTGTGAACTGGGAGGGACTGGGGACTTGGGGGAACTGGAGGAATATGGGGGATTAGTTATTGGGGTGGCTGAGGGCAATTTGAGAGTTGGGGGGGATTGGGACCAATTGGGACCAGTGGGGACCAGGGAGAACAGTGGGGAACTGAGACTAGAGAGGGATTGGGAGCAGCTGGGACTGAGGGTACTTGGGAGAACTGGGGGAAACTGGGAGCTGGGGGGGACTGGAGACTAGAGTGGAGCTGGGGACTGGTGAGTACTGGGGGAAACTGGGCACTGGGAAGAACTCGGAGAACTGGGGGGATCTGGGGACTGGAAGTACTGAAGGAAACAGGTCTGGCAGGCATTGGGGCAAACTGGGGCCTGAGGGTGACTGGGGGAGGACTGGGAAAATTGAGGGGGAACTGGGTCATCTCCATTGGGTACGGTGTGTGGGCAGGACTGGGGGGCCTGTGGGAGTGTTTGATGTATCAGTGGATTGGGGGGGGGGGGGATGGGGGCAAAAGGGGTTTTTG